ACACACACACACACACACACACACACACACACACACACACACACACAAAGTTTCCTAGGAAATAGACACCATATAGTCTAAGGATAGCCCAGGGTGTTGGCAGATGGCTGCGGTTCAGGGATCGGTCATACATACACACACACACACACACACACACACACAGACAGATTCATACACCCTTAGTCACACTTAGTCATTGCTTTTTAACCTTGATTTCCCTATCAACCCTCTATCCTCTTTTCCAGTGTGTTGAATAAAAACTCCCACACTTTCAGCTTCAAATCAAGTTGTCAGTAAAGTCAGCTGCTGACATCTGCACAAAATGATCACGGATGAATTATGTTTTCATCTCCCTCTGCCCTCGTCTTTGTCTTGCTCTCTGTAAAATTCCACATCGCTTGAGGTTGTTCTCTCATTTCCACCCTCTTCTTCTCCACCAAACCATAAACCACATTCGTCTGTTCACATTAGGCAACCTCCTTATGTTTTTCACCATCTTTCAGACTTTCCTTGTTTTTTCTTCTGCTGTTTGAGGCTAACCACAGAACGCTGACAGACAGGTAGCACAGTTTAACTGTGAGCTAACGCCCATATCAGTCTGGAGTCTTATGTGTGCTTTGTAGAGGTCTTCTTACAAATTCTGGCAAAGTTCAGGCTCATTTCCACGGACATATGGCTCATTCATAAAACTATTAAAGGCAACTTTGTTCATCTTGAGTATCTAGCAAGAGTACGCTAGATTTTGAAAATGAACCAACTGACAAATCCAGCCCAGTGTCAACTCTTTTCCAATGAAAGTAGCTAACAGTACTATCTCCAAAAGTCCCTTCAGGCCTCCCTCCAGAGACACTCCCCCAAAATGATCATAACAATTATTACAGTCCTGGGACAGCGACAAATACCAAATTTTTTACATTTGTTTTGTCAGAGCTTTTGATTTATTGATTGCTTAATTAATTTATTCAGACATCAATTCATATATTGATAATTGTATTTAAATCAACTTTGTAATTTTTTATATTTATGGTAAATTAAAGATTTGCTCTTTTTGGAGTTGAGAAGCGCCACAAACTTGCGCGCATCCAGACAAGTTTCTACAAAAACACCCTTTTCTTTTACCTAGGTAATAAAAGGGTAGATCTTTATACCATTCACATCATCATCTGCATTTTGTTTGCCTGTGCAACAAATAGTTATTTTGGGAGACAAGACACACTATACAAGACAACTAAATGTAGAACACTGCACAGCATACAACAAGATAAAGTTTGATATGACCCCTAATTTACTGTAAGTTTCTGATTGTGCGTGTCTGAATGTGATGATTAGTTTTGGAGAAAATGTAGGTTTCTGTGATAATTTGTATTGTGTGCATGGTTGCTTACATGCATGCGTATGTGTGTGTTTGTGTGCGCATTCCTGGGTGTGTATTTTATTGCATTTGTTGGTTCGTGCAGCAGCTGCCTTTCATGCTCACGTCACTGAACAAACACATACTCACACGGCATCAATACCGACAGCAGACTGTTTTCTTTATCTTCCTCTTCCTCTATCAAATTCTCCCTTGTTCCCTCCCTCTGTCCCTCTGAAACACACACACACATCCTTGGCAGCTGTTGGGAACATGCAGAAAAGAGAAAAAGACCCACCCATGAGGTGAGCCGGAGGTTAGCTCTCCTTCGGGTATTTACTGTCAACGATAAACACAAACACACAAATGCACTCTGCAGTTCTGCTTTTCTCTTTAAAATGTATGGTAAGAGTTTCAGCAGTTTACAGCATTTGCACACATATACCCATAAACACGCACACATTCCTTCCCTCCTAAATTATCTTTAAGTTTGAGTAGTGACTGTAAACACACATAAACACATTAGTCATCAACTGTGGGTGCTGCCCTCAGAACTAAAAGAGTCCATACCACAGTTAAACTAATATTAACTCCCCCTGAGAGATTATTTGCTCAACCCTTTTTTCCAATATTTCTCTTTTATGTCCGCTCCAGCTCTGTATTAATATACACTCTCTGTTTTGCTGTCCTACCCTCATACATCATCTAAATCGCTGTTTCTCACTCTATCTGTTCATACTCTCTTCAAATGAGAAGCTTTAGTTGGTGTGTCTAAGTGCGTCAATGTGTATATGTGTTTACCTGAGAACACCTGTGTGCTGTGCTGCAGTATCTGAGATCTGAAGGCCTGCCAGACCCCTGTCAGCTGGCTGAGGAAACCCCGTACATCTGTAAGATCACTGCCAGAGGATCGGAGCACGGAGAGAGTCGCTCGCAGGGCCTGCTGCTGCCGCACCAATGCTCCTCTGACACACACAAACACAGGGCATTTAACCATTCTGGCTCCATAAATTGACAGTAATTCATTGCTATGTCACAGATGCCAAAAAATGTCTGGACATTTTGTGGGAGTTGTCACATAAATATTTAGACAGTACAACTAATAGCTACCTAGGGATCTGTTTACAAGTGCTGTTAAAATGACAAGTGTGTGAATAAGACAAAATTAGCCATTAAAGGTGTGGTTCAGAAAGACTGTAGAAAAGACTGAAATTCTTCGAGCCAATCTCTCTCCGTCCTGAACAAAATACTTTGACACTTAAATCCCCACATGCTCCAGTCGAGTTTAGTAGCGCGTAAGAGCAGGAGACTGTGGTTACTGCTCCCTGGTGCGAATATGTGTAACTGTGGGCTTTTGAAGCAGAGCATTTCTGAAAAAGAGCACGCTGAGCGTTCGGTGGCAACACTCCCGAGATATATCATGACGTTTGCCTCTCAGTCATGTACTGTACGGAAAAAAAGCTTGCATTTTAAAGTAAAGATTAAGCAGCTAAATTATTATTTTTAAATGATTTTGAAAATGTAGTTCTGCTATTACAAATGTGCGGCTGAACACTTTCAAATGACTCTCAGACTAAACAGCGCTTGAATTGTTTTGAGTTATTTTGTAATTTATAGACTTCCACAGATGCGTGGAATGAATGACGAGAAGAAAGAAAAAAAAAAATTAATATACAGAAAAGGAATGCAGGACATACAGTAAAATAAATGAAATAGGTGACTTAAAGAGACGAAGAGAGGGAAACGGAGGACTGATGTAAACACCATGTCCTTAAAAAAGGGCACAGCCATGTTTTACAGCACTCTCTCTCTCCTCCCTCTCTCTGACTCTCAAGGATATATGCTCAGACGAAAAGCACTTTGAGCAACAAGAAAGATCACTAGCTCAGCTCACACACACACACACACACATACATATACACACACACATGCATATACACACACGCATGTTCAATCAAGTCACAAACCCATGCAAAGCGTGGATGTGGGAAACTAGAGTGCTGGAATAGAACATTCTGTTATTCCAAGAACACTTTTAAAGGAACATGTGGACGAGAGCACACTGAACAGTTTCCTATTTTCTTACTTACACACACACACACACACACACACACACACACACAGGTGGGTGCACACATACGTACACACGTGAGGCCCATGGATACCTTGCAGGCACAGGGGGCACAGTTACACACACACACCTGCAGAAACACACACAAGCCTGTAGACACAGTCATAGACAAACGCTATGAACATGGCTGGGTCTTGTGGGCAAAGTGACGTGATGGCTTTTGAGAGCTCAGCGGGGTTGAGTGGTTGTTGTTTTTCTCATTCAGAGTTTGTGGCTTAAGGTGATCAAAAATGAACGGAGTCCAACACGAGACGGGATGAGAGGGAAGACTTCGAGCTCCTTCCTGGTGCCTGAGTGTGTGTGTGTGCGTGCAGAGTGGAAGAGAGCACAGGCACTGCTTGTCAAGAGAGCCCGTTTTATAATGTCAGATGACATAAATCATAAGGCTGACAGCACCAAATGGAGGAACAGATATGAGCCAGATCTGTCAACGATGATAAGGCTAAGATAGTGAAAAAAAGGAGAGCATTGCACGCGTTTCCTCACCCGATGGTTTACTCATTTAGCAGCTTTCAATGTCAGTGGCCTGATTGAAAACATTTTTTTTTCCCCTGATGTCTCATCTTCTCCTTCCCTCCCACTCTCTTCACCTCCACTCCTGTCACGTCATTTTTCAATCTCTCTCTTTATTTCCAGGAAATAACCGGAGGGTCAGCTGAATTAACTTTCTCTCCTCTGTTTTTCCATTCCCTCTTTTGTTGTTTCCCTCTCTATCATCTCACACAGTTGTTTCCCATCTGCCCTGGCCTTCCTGCCATGCATCTGGTCATGGAGCTGACAGCCAATCATGGTGATGCAGACCAATACTTTTTTTTTTTTTTTTTTTTTTCATCTTTTGTTTTTGTGATTTATTTCCATCCTACTTTGGCTTTACCAAACATTATCGCGTCACCATTCCCCCACTTTCTCATGTCACTGCATCTTTCTTTGTCTCTTTTCACTCTGGTTGTTTCCTTACCTGAGAATTTCACCTTGCCTCCTCTCTTCTTCGAGTAACTGCTCTGCCTCCTCCTTCGTGCAAGCCTCTTTTGCCAGTCTGTCGAGGAAGAAGAAGACAGTTGAAGAATGAGGATGAAGAGCCAAGAGCCGTGAGCAATATTCACTCATTGGATAACCTAAGCCTAATGTAACGGAACTGCCCTCCCATGGGGTTAAATGAGCTTATAGATGATGCAACTTTAATGATAGAAAGCAGAGGATGATCGTGATGAAATGGAATGAGATGAAAAATTGAAATGTTCCTCAGAGGTAATTGATATAAAGAGAGAGGCCCTCCCCGCTTATGTTATCTAGTTTCAGATAATTCTATACATAATAAATTATGATTTGAATGAGTAGAGTAAGCAATGCATAAAGGCAAAATAATTAATAGAATTGAGATGCAAATTAGATAAAGAAGAGGAAAGTGAATTACTCTCAAAGTGCTACAGATTTAGAGAGTAGTGTGGAGGTACTTAAATAAAATCTGAATAGAGTTAGGGACTCAGTGCTTAACAGTCGCAGTGTTAAGCACTGAAGTGCATATTCATGAGTCGCAAAACTAGCCCACACCTGAAAATTAGTAACGCGCAGCACATTTAACCCACGCTAGTATCCCTGATTCAATAAGGTCTCCTGTACCACCCCAGTCCAGTCGTTGGCCGCAACGTGTCCATGAGATATGGCCAACAATAATCTAAGGACATGAAAAACTTCAAGTTGATGCTCCTGACCACTCGCAAATACCGCAAGTAGGGGTATTGCGACGCACCCCGTACTCTGCATTGCCTTTCAGCCTGATTGATTCCAGACAGGAGCCATCAAATCTGACAGACAAATTCCAGCAATCAAACCAGAGACATAAACAGAAACAACACATCCTGTTCTTTCCTAAAACATCACAAATAAGCACTGACAGCCAGACAGAGAGAGAGGAATAAACACGCTAGCAGGCTAGACAAATGGAGACTAAAACCAGACAGGTAACAATCATGACCGTCACAGTTTAATCAAGAAGTGTATAATTTGAATGAGATGCAGTGATCCTGC